AAAAAAAAAAAAAGAAAAAGACAGATGAAGATGAGAAAGTCAGCTTTCTCCAAACAATAAATTAGTCATCACCTAGACAATCAGCTTTTTGTAACTTAGAAAGTATTTTCTAAATGACACCAAACAACTAACAACTAATATTTAACATTTACAATGTGCTTATACATATATCACCATACATACACAATCATCAACACTTCTGGTGTCTGTCCAAAATGGAATTTAAAACTTTAAGTACTGTAATTTAAAGGAATTTGGTCATTTTAAGTAACTGAAGGTTACAGAGGTGATAACATAGAAACTTATTAAATTTAAAGGGAATACAAAACTGTAAAGTCACATCCATTGAGATATGTGGGAGTAAAATCTTAATGACATCAAAGTAAATTATACAATTAACGTAATCTTACTTACGAATATGCTCAATCCAACTGTCAGAATATTGATACATAGAGTAAAATAATTAAGGAAGATATTAGTATCATGGTAATAGGATATTTATTCATTACTGAGAATTCAAAAATTGAAATTTAAGCAATGATCTGTAAGAGAATCAAATTAGACTCAAATTACTGGCTTAATTTGGCTTTTAAAAACTTACCATTTATTATGTAAACAAAAAGTATCATGAAAATACCTTAAGAAAATATTTTCAAAAGTGCTCAGGGATAATTTTTCAAACCATGTGTAGCCATGAAATATTTTTGACAGATGAAAAACAGTATTATAATGATGCATGAACTTCTGGTTTATATTATAGGAAAGAAATTTCTATCTCCTTAGCATTTCCATAGTTCTTTAGTTGTACCTGTCTTAAGTTACTCACCACTTTTTTTTCATGTTACTTGCATACTTGTCTTACCAACCTTAACAGTCTAATATTCTTCTGCACATAACACGAGCTTATAAATATGTGACAATAAATTATCTTATGTTCAATAGAAAAATTAACAGCAATCATATTATAAACACATTATAAACTACACACTCATATAAACTATATACTTGTATACCACCAAGAATAATTGTTAGAAATGTTTTACTAAAAAACAATATAAGAATCACTAAAGAATACGTCAGCAAGAAAAATGAATAACACATATCCCTATCACATTTAACATAATCTGATATCTTACTTTGCATATTTTTCACAGCAGCAATCAAAAGGTATAGTCGTTAACTCATCTAAGTTCAGTAGGGTAAAATTTGCCCTATGGAAAAATTTCACTAAAGCTCAAAAAATCCTAGCCATTTCTAAATTAATCATAAGTTATTTACGTAGACATGCAAGTATGGACTAGATAATAATATGTAAAATGCAAAACATGAAAATAATGCTTGGGTGTTGAGCTCTTTAGAAAACTGAAGAGGGCAATGGGTTTGGGGGAACTACCTAAGATTGAGGCTCTGAAAAGGCTCCTCTGAGGAGGTGACATCTGAGCCAAGACCAAATGAGATGTACAAAAGGCTGGGAAAAGAACAAAGTAGGCTGAGCCCAAAGATCCTAAAGGAGGTAAGCCTAATGGTCTGTGGAGAGTGTAGCAAGGCTTAGATCATGGGGAGCCTTGAAGATAAATTCAGATTTTATTCCTAATTTGATAAGAAGCCAGAGTGTGGTTTTAAAAGGTAAATGACATCATCTGTGTTTTTTACTCTGAACTTTTGGTGAAGAATGAATTATAGGAGAACATGAGCAGAAGCAAGGAAACTACTAAAAATAGTCCTGGTGTGGGGTGATAGGGGTATGTAAGAGAGTGTTAGCAATGGGGATGGAGACAAGTGGATGGATTCAAGATACAGTTTGGGGTCAGACACAAAAGAACTTGCTGATTGGGTGTGACAGACAGGATTCGAGGTTTTGGTTTGTGAAACGATTTACTTAGATGGAAAAAACTGGAGGAAAAACATATTTGGGTTCTTGTGAAGTACCCCTATAAGCTTAAGGGGATGAAGAGGAATCATGTTCCTTATCTTTGTTCCCCCAAGGCCTAACACCAAGTCTGATACACGTTATGTATGCAAAAAATGTTTTTGGAGTAGGAGGGTGGCTATTTGTGGCTGTTTCCAAGGCGAAACTCTTTGAGAGCAGCAATTCCCTATCTACACAATGACTAAAAAAAGGGTTTTGGTACCTTCTGGGAGTTTGCTAATGCCTAGATGAATGACGTTTACATGCTGGTAATATTTAGTTATATTAGGCTTAAGCTGTTAAAAATTATTTATGCAGCGTTGAGATTCTCTCAAGTGAATGTCATTTTTTTCTTTTGAGTGTAATTTTATATTGCTCAAAGATGTAAAAATAAAAATAATAAATAACCATTTAACATGAAGGCCTAGAACACCAGGCACATTTACAGCCACAAAGGCATGAACTACTAAAGAATGGTCTGCAGCTGGACAACAGACATTAAGCTACTCAAATCCAGCAGATGAAAGCCAACAACAAACAGAAACAACTCTTTTTGACCAGCAATAAAGGAAAAGAGGTTGGAGAGGGGAAGAGGGAATAAACATTTTTATTTAGAAAACATCTTTAAAGATTTGACGCCACGGTAGAAATACGTCCGTTAATTCTCACAATACTGAGAAAAGGCATTACTCTCATTCCTCACCCATTTACAGATGATAAAAGCTCAGACTCTCTCTCTAGCTTTACTTCATCCAGCTATTAAGAGCCAGAGCGGGCCTTACAGCTCAGGTCTGAGTCTCTGCCACTCCCACTGCCCCCATGCAAAAGTATTTACACTTAATTGCAAGCAACGAGTACAGAAAAACTCAAAGGCACAGAGGAATGTAAGAAAACCCGCATCCAAAATCTTAGATCTGAAAAAGTTTGCAAGCCTTCCCAGAACCAAGGCCAGACATGCATGCCTCCCATCTGCCACGGTGTCTCCCTCGTTATCCATCTCACTCATCAATAAAGGAAGGAGAGGGTGCAGGCCGCAGGAACAAAACACGGCCTGGCGAAGGGTGTGACGGGGCAGAGGAGAAAGGTTCGCGATCCGCCCCACACCTCTAAGTGGTCGTGACAACCAAGGATATGACAAGACGGGGCAGGACGGACGGCAGCTCCCGGCGGCAAAGCTCCTCCGGCCAGCTACTTAATTCTTCCAGGGGAACGGCGCTCGCAGGGACCGCGCGTTCCTGAGACATGTTTTCGCCGGAGAGTGTAGCTTCAAACCAGTCCCGCCACAGCCCAGTCCGGAAACGCCCCCCGTCCCGGCGGGCCTTGCGAGCTCTCCGCGGGCTCCAAAACCATAGAGAAGAAGCGGGCTGGGTTCTCTAGTGAGCCGGAAAGGAGGTCGGGCTTGTCTGGCCCCCGGAGGACTCGACTCACTGGTGCGCGCTTTCAGTCGGGTGGAGGCGTCTTGAGGCGGAGTTTCTCAGCCGGGCGGTCCTAGAACACTCCAGGCAAGCGAGCATCCCCCGGTGTGGATCGCTGTAAACGTTCCATTGAGATGGGACGCTGCGGGGAGGTAAGAGCAGGATGCCCCTAGATTTGCTGCCCATCGGGTTTTGAGATTGCACATCTGAGTCGGGTTTGACTTGGAACGTACAACCGGAAATGACTCCAGGCCTTACAGCGCGATGGGATAGGAACTGGGCACGTTCCTGCCAGCTTAACTGTGTGATCCACTCCCCCCCTCCCACACACGCACACACTGTACACCTTATGTAAAGGGAGTAACGATCCCACCTGCCAAAATTGTTGTGCAAATTGAAGCAGATGGTGTAAAGTGCCTAGCATAGTAGACACAGAGAAGATTCTCCGTAAATTGCTTCCACTTTTACAGGCTCTATAAACAGTGCGGTGTCCCCTCTACCATTAAACTAATCTACTCCCGAATTACCCCGGCTCCCAGATGCTTAGGGCTGCTAGCCTGGATTAAATGTAGTGAAGTCATTTGGATGAATTTACACACACCAGACCACACCTGTGCAAGTTTTTAAACGATGCTCACTTACCAAAATAAAATCTTGAATTCCTGTTATTTGACACAGTAATAGACAGAAGTGAAGAAATTCTGGAAGTTTAAGGGGTGAATGGTTTTGGGCACAGTCACAGGACACCTGAAAGACACCAAGATGCTAGGTTGTCCTGTCTGAAAATCTTGGATTTTATGTTTGTTCTGGTGGTGGTGGTTGTTGCTACTGCTGTTGTTCTTTTGTTTGTTTTTATAGTTTATTTTTTTCTCCAACTTTTGAACCCTTAAGGGTTGTGTGTGTATGTGTTTCCAAATATCTTATCTCCATCCCACATTCCCTCCCCCAAGCATTTTTAGAAAAGGTAGCTGTATATGGAGAGGCAGGAGATGTTTAATATTACATTTCAGTGAAATGTGACTTGCTTTATCATTTTCTTTCTTTCTTTCCTTTTTTTTTTTTTTCTCTAGAGCTAAATTGAAAGAAGAGCAAATTCCTCTTAAAAAGTCATTTGGAAACATCACTAAATATTTGTTACGGTGTATAAGCAGCTAAAGAGAAATTGGCCCCAACAAAACTAATTGAATAATTGAGACAGATTTATGTGTGTTACTAAATTTTATCCAGAAGTTGAAGAATATTCCTTTGACTTTAAGGATTGTGTGCATTTAACAAGAGGATGACCTTTCAATTTAATTTCATTGTAGAAGACCATTTGGGAAATGAATTAACACCCATAGGAAATCGAGCTTTAACCCTGGATTCCTCAAAAGAGTCGTCAATCTCAGAAAGTCAAAAAGGAAAACAGAAGGAACAAAATTGTTCTACAGAACAATTTCATTTGCCTCAGGATCACTTGCTGGAACATAAATCAATGAAAAATGCAGCTCCCTCTCAAGACACAGACAGCCCACTCAGTGCAGCTAACAGTTTAAGTAACTTGGAGCTACATGAAAAACAGCCTTGCTTGAGAGTTGCCAAAGAGCATGCTCTGCCTAAGGACTTAAAGAAAGTGTTAGAAAATAAAGTCCTAGAAACATTACCAGGTCTCCAGCATGTTAACATATCAGTAGTGAAAACCATGTTGTTGAAAGACAGTTTCCCTGGAGAAAACATAGTTTCAAAAAGCTTTTCTTCTCACTCTGATCTGATTACAGGTGTTTATGAAGGAGGCTTAAAAATCTGGGAATGTACCTTTGACCTCCTGTCTTATTTCACAAAAGACAAAGTGAAATTCGCTGGTAAAAAAGTGTTGGATCTTGGCTGTGGATCAGGGTTGCTGGGTATAATTGCATTCAAGAGAGGGGCCAAAGAAATTCATTTTCAAGATTATAACAGTATGGTAATTGATGAAGTGACCTTACCTAATGTAGTGGCTAATTCTACTTTGGAAGATGAAGAAAATAGTATAAATGAACCGGAGGTGAAAAGATGCAGGAAATCAAAAGTAGCACAAGAACTATATAAATGCCGGTTCTTTTCTGGGGAGTGGTCTGAGTTTTGTAAGCTTGTACTAAGCAGTGACAAACTCTTTGTAAAATATGATCTCATTCTCACCTCAGAAACCATTTACAATCCGGATTATTATAATACTTTGCACCAGATATTCCTTAGACTCTTAGATAGAAATGGACGGGTGCTTTTGGCCAGCAAAGCACATTATTTTGGTGTAGGTGGAGGTGTTCATCTGTTTCAGAAGTTTGTAGAAGAAAGGGATGTATTTGAGACTAGAACCCTCAAAATAATTGATGAAGGATTAAAGAGGTTCCTAATTGAAATAACTTTTAAGTACCCCAGTTAATGTTCACTGAGTGTCCTGAGTAAACAGAATGAACAAAAACTTGTGTTCAATGTTTGGTTTCTGTTTTGCTATTATTTTTTTCTGAAATTATGATGTTTGTTTAGTTTCATTTATCCAAATAATAGGTCAGCTATGTTAGCAACTTTGTACTTGCTAGAAAGTGTCCCTGAGCATTTGATGAGATTGTTTTGTAAAAGTTCTCTGTTCTCCACCTTAATTCTATTTGACCTTCATACCACCTTCAACATTACATAAAATTGTTCCCAGGAAATTCTGCCATTTCTTATCTCAAGTGTGTGAATTTCTTCTTTGTGAGTGTCTTGTTGACATGAAGTGCCTGGTCAGATCACCATGCTATTAATTTTAAGGACATACATAATATGTATCACTAAGTGTTACTGAACCTAAACATTGGGTTGAAGGCCTTAGATAAGTAGGAAAAAATTTTTGTTTCATTTTGTTTTTATATTCATTTACCTTGTATAATAAGGATTAAGGTGCTGAGCAGTTGAATGCACATTGAGATGAGGAAACAAAGGGGAATTGGTGATGGAGAGTATAAAAGTGATTCAGAAAACTTACAGTGCTTAAGGCTAAGCCCGGCTAGCCAAGTGAGTAAGAGATCCTAAGAAAAAGAATAGGAAAGGTAAATTCTAAATTCTGGGGAGTATTGATTCCCCACCAGTCATTGAATAGTAGGAAAGAAAAGGAGGAAAAAAGTATTTTGTTAATTCTAGTGCAAAAATATTCACATTGTAACATATCTAAAATTGGGATCTGCCATGCTATCTATAACAATAGTATAATTAGTTGCATTTTTTTTCTTTCTTGGAGGTGCCTAATATCTCGGATTCAATTAAATGTGATATTTACTGGACATCTACTGTTAAGTAGGGACTTTGTATAGCATCCTGTGGAGTATACTATAAAGCAAATATATTTCACAGGGCCTAGTTTCTTGTAGTTTCAGGTTTAGCCTAACTTCTTAAAAGTACATATAGAAATGTTAACCTTGCAAAACACAGGAAACTCCCCAGGCTAGTCTATATTGTTAAGGTAAAGAATTGTAACACAGCAAGGTGCTGACTCAAGGACAGACAAGTTACTTGACTGATAGGTAAAAATGCTGGGAAGCTGCTGTAGGGAAAGAGAATGCTGAGATCAAGCTTTTGTTGGTGGATCGACTTAACCTTTCGCAAATTGCATTAAGGAAGTCACTTTGTTTATTTCAATGATATTACTAGTTTTCCATTTGTTAGCCATAATTCTGCCGATGGCAGACATAGGTGCTGTAGTGTCTGCCAGGTCAATGGCTGTCAGCTGCTCAGAGAGAGAATGAGCTTTTTGAGGGGAGGAAACCTGTCTTTGCTTTTCAGTGCACTTCATAATGTTTTATTCAAGTGCTTCATCAACAGCCATTTGAAAAAGAGGCAGCAAGGAAATTCTGGGACACCATGAACTTGATTCTTTGCCTCGACTCCAACCAGAATATCTGCAATTTCTCATACCGTGTTTATGGTGGCATTGTGCTTGCTGATATTAAGGCTTTTCTTTGGATAAAAGCATACATCCAAAATTGCCATCATCACTTGGGTGAAGACCAACAGAGAAGCTGCCCCCGTCATAAAAGAATCCTTTACTGCAGCCCAGGAATGCAGCTTCTATGCAACCAGGAATGGTTGGAGGAAGCTACAGTACAGTTATCACCACTCGATGTTCTCTCACAACTCCAATTTCTGCCTTTTTGAAGAATTAAAAGTGAACTCAGATAACCCTTAAAAGTAGTTTCTTCATCTATAGGGGAAATTGTCTAAGGGAAGTGCTTTTTCAGGGATTATTACTCTGAGACTATATAAAAATTACAATTATAATGAACATCTGGATAACTTAAGTATTACTGAAGGAAGTGGGGCATTTTACCCCTCACAGAACATGGCAAATGACCAATCAATTTGTGACCTGCAAAAATATGAAGGAATGCTGTAGCTATCCTTTTCCATGGTATTTACCGATGGGATAGAAAAAGCAAATGTGAAGGCTTGCCTTTGGCGGTACACATCTTTTTTTTTTTTTTTTTTTTTTTTTTTGGGATCACAACCCTCGGCATGCTGTGGTCCACACCATGCTCAGCCAGTGAATGCACCGGCCATCCCTATATAGGATCCAAACCTGTGGCCTCAGGCTACCAGAGCCGCACTCTCCCGAGTGAGCCAAAGGGCCGGCCCATGGCAGTACATATCTTAAGCCTTTTCAGTAGAATCAGATATGTTCGGTCTCATGAAACCCTAAATGCATTAGCCAGGCTGCTGCTGGACCATGGTGCCTCTGTGTAAAGAAAAAGATGCTTCTTCCTGTTGCTTTACGTTGCTTCGCCCCCCCATGGATTTGTCACCCCACTTCCCCTGGGTGACAGAGACTCAAAGGATTACTCAAAGCCCATCTCTACTGAGCAGTGAGAGGCCTGGAAGTGGTTAATCTCCTGG